GCTGAGCCCCGGAGGGAGGGTGCTGCTGCCCAGTCTGGGGCTACTGGGTTGCCCTGTGCCTCTCCCTTGACCGTTGACGGTGGCCCCACGGGCTAGCAGGAGGCAAGGCCAGGACGTGGGGTCACCAGGAACTGTGGAAGGGGCAAGCACGCTGCTAGTGCTGGGGAGGATGAACAGGAGGATGGGGCCGGGAAGGAGGGACAGCGAGGTGCCAGGCCCAGTGAGCTGTATATGGGCCTTCAGGCTGGGAGAAGCTGGGGGCTGGTGACTTCTGGCCACGGGCAGGGCTCTCGCTGCACCTGCAGAGCTGCAGTTACAGATCTGTGTTGTGCCCTGAAAAAATAAGCCCTGCGAAAGAGAGCATCAGAGCCAGCTGAGCCTGAACTGAGCATCCATGTCGAGGGGAAGCGGGGGTAAGACGCCATTGGCTGGAGACCCTCCCGCGAGGGACGGGGATCCCCTCTACCTGTCTGCCCTGGGAGGTTGGTTGCTTGCAGAGGGCTTGCTCTGGCGTGTTGCAGAGCGTTTACCGAGGCTTGTCACGTTTTTGCACCGTGCAGATGAACCTCAAGAGGTAATGGGCACCAGCGATGGTGTCAGGGATGCTGAGCGTGTCAGCAGTGCCTACAGCAGCAAGCTTAACGTGAACCAGCAGTGTGCTCTGGTGGCGAAGGAGGCCAACTGCACATTGGCTGCGCAGGAGGGCCGCCAGCAGCTCAGGGAAGTGATTTTTTTTTCCCACCCCCCCGATTCAGCGTCAGTGAGACTGCGTCTGGAGTAAACTTGCATTTGCAGTCATGTGCCCGGTTTTGGGCTCCCCGGTACAAGGAAGGCATCGGTAGACTGGAGCAAGTTCAAAGGGTGCTGCTGAAGGGGTCTGGAGCTGGAGCCAGGGATATGCAGACAGAGGGGGGAAGGTCGGGGTTTGGCCAGCCTGACAGGTCCTGTCCCCTCCTACCTCAAGCGAGTCTGCAGGAGCAATTGAACCAGGCTCTTCTTGGAGGCATCTGGAGAAGGATAAGAAGCAGTGAGCGCAAGCTGCAGCAAGGGATGTTCCAGTTAAATAGTAAGAAGGAGGGAAAAAAAATCACTCTTGAGGGGTATGAAGCGCTGGGAAAGGCTACCAGGAGAGGTGGCAAAGTCTCCAACAGCAGAGAGAGTCAAAACAGGGAAGGACAAGATCTTGAACAACCCAATCTAAAATGGACCTGATCGGAGCGGGAGACTGGACCAGGTAGCACGTGGAGGTCCCTTTCAACCAGTATCATTTATTTATTTTTATTATGTTTTATTTAGTGGAGAAAATGACCACAGAGAAAGGCAGTGGTCTCCCACAAGAGGGCCCCGAAAGAAGGGCCAAGCCACCTCGAGCAGTTTTTTGTGCTTGCCCATGAATGGTTTGAGGCAAGTCGATGGCTCTTCTCCTTCCTCTCAAGGCAGACGGTCCCCATGTGCTCTCCTGCAGGAGCCTCCCGGGTCCCCGTGGCCAGCCGAGGGCTGAGGGCAGGTCCTAGGCCTTCTTGTGCTCCTTGTATAGAGCTCTGCATCTCCTAGTGCGAATCACAAAATTCGTGGATGGAGCTGAATTTCAGAAATGGATTTTTCTCTGAGAAAGGCGTGCTACTTCTAGCAAAGCACAACCTGGCTGGGCTGCTTCTGCAGCTCTTCCCAAGCAGGTCAGATATCACCCCTATTACAGCAGTCAGGAAACAGCTGTGCTTCCATCAGCTTCTTCTTTAGTCTGGCACCGTGCTTCTAAATTTTAATGCGAACTGAACTCGATGCAATTTCAGTGCATTGACAAGGCTGAAAATTGCGACTGACCAAGAAAGAAGCAAGATCGGCGATGCAAGGAAACTAGCTAGCAGGGCTTTCTTTGACCCGTCTAAACCTGCCCATGTACAGCTCTGGGACAGGAGAGAAAAAGCAAAATGCAGCCCCAGTGCTCCTTGGGGCCATGCGCTCCCAGATGTCCCCTCCGGAGAGGGTGCTTCGGGCCGCAGGGCGGGCACAGATGACAGGGTGCATCCCACCCCTGGGTGCCTGTCGCTGCACCAACACCCTGGAGAAGATGGGCATCAGGAGCCGTCACTGGCGTCCCCGCTCAGCATGGGGTCACGGTGCTGCCACTGCCCTGCTTCATCACCGGTCTCTGCATCCGGCCCCCACCTTGGCCCTTGGGGAGGCTGAGCTCCATGTCCCCGGGGGCTCCTGCTGCACTGGCTCCCCAGGGAGACATGGCCCTCAGGCAGACCCAGAGGGATGGAGCCACCTCAGAGCTAGAGGAGAACAAGCCCCGCTTTCCTGCACAGTCATGGAGCAAGGTAAGCTGTGAATATGCTACTGAGACCAAATATTGGCACAGACTCATTGGTCATGTTCATGCTAAACTCTTCTCTTTTGACATGATTTTTCACTATTAAATTTTAAAATATTTCTTTTCTCTTCCCGTATCTTCTATTCCCTTATTAGTAATTGTAACAAAAATTAGTCGTGAGACTGATACTAGCTTTTCTTTACCTGCTTGCTGCCCCAGAGCAGTACAAATCCTGTCTCTGCGATCTGAATTGGTGCTGTGCATGGCAACAAATATGCATAACCAAGGAATGGGGCAAAAGCAGCTTTCAAGCTCTTCCTCGTTTTTCTAGCCAAGCCGGACTTGCTGTATCATTTCTCTACGTCATAAATCTGCAAAGCTGGCGACTGCCCAGAAACGGCTTCCTCTTCCCAGGGGAGGAGTTAACATGGTTGGGCTGGGAAAGGGGCCAATATTTCCAGCTCCCTGCTGCCGTATGCTACCCGCCAGCGGTGTACAATGCAGTTCAGAGTGGTTCACAGCTCGGCAAAAAAAACCCCAAATGCAATCTGAAAATCTGGGGCCGTGCAGCGGCTGATGCTCCACAGGCCTTAGAGCCTCCTAGGGGAGCAATCTTGCGTTATGGCAGAGGCAACGGTTTCTATGAAGGTCTTGGAGCACCCACAGGCTGGGGGACCTGCCTGTGTGCGAAAAGGAAGTGAAAGCCGCAGGAAACCTACTTTGTTATTAGCATCCAAGCTTATTTTACTGTCGGTGCTTCTTGCAGATCTCAGCTGGTCTCCCACCTTTTCTGTCTTTCTACTAGTACTTTGCTTATCTTACGTCAAGGTGCAGCCTTGCACCTCAGCTTGCAGCTCAGAAATACTTGCTCTGTACCCTGCAGCCCCGATCCGCTCACTTCCTGAAGGTGCGGAGTCACAGCTCCAGCCAAGAGGAGCGCCGTAATTCTTAATGCATTCGTTCCTCCAGCTCCTTTTCCCGTGGGCCGTCCAGGTCTGTCACCGGTGGCCGTAGCCGTGCAGAC